ATAAGCTAAACCCAAAGGAAACCACCCTCCCCCACCCCGCCCCGCTTAAATTTCCCAGGGGAAGGGGCTTGGGCAGAGGGCAGGCTTTCCCCACTGGGTGGGACCTGGCCCGGCAGAGCCCATGATGAATTTGACCCTGATGACTCTGTAGTGGGGAACAATGTCCTCAGGAAAGCATTCAGGAAACCCTTCGTGTAGTAGTGATCAAAGCCCTGCAGCGGCTCAGCAGGCTGGATGGGGACGCTCCAAGGAACCAGCAAGGCCCTGGGCTGGAGCCCAGGGACTCACTCAATGCCCTTCCCAGGTGGGGCTCTCCCTCAGCCTCTGCAGAACCGTGGGCCAATGCGGGGGACGTGGAGGTCCTGGGGAGGCCTGGGAGTCTGAGGGAGCCCCTGCTTCTGGAGTGTCTCCGCTTTGTCTGCATTTATCCCCTAGGCCTGGGAGGGCGGGAGGGCTGATCGGTGAGGCGCACTTTAGTTTCCTCATTTCTCCTCAAAGCTGATGTAAACCTTCCGTATTCACATGAAGCCCCTTTTGTTTGTCCCTCATCCCCAAGGAGTTCGGTCAGAAGGGAGAGGAGCACTGGTTCTCCTCATGCTAACAAAGGGCCTCGGAGGCCCCAAGCGGGAAATGGCTCACCCCAGATAACACCAGGAATTCTTGGCAGAGCTGGGCTTGTAGCCACCCCGTGCCCCCTCCCCCTCCCAGTTTCTGTATTGTCATCACACTGGACCGAGGTCAGCTGGCCTGTAGACTGGTTGACTTGATGAGGGAAGCACCCTTTGAGTGCCTGCTGGTCAGAGGGCACAGCTCGGGCCCAGCTCGGGCCCTCTGCGGGCGGCTCCCGGGACTTGCCTCAGATGGAGGCTGCTGCCTGCTTCGCCTGCCCCTTCCCGCTTTCATTTTCCCCCGTATGCAGACCAAAGATAAAGCTTTAGGGGTAGCGCTGCCTCTCGGATGTTCTCCAGACTGCTTTCCTCACGTGCGGGAGGGTAGGAGGTCACAGTCTTTCCCACAGATGGAGTTCTTTGTGTTTATAGTTTGGTCAATTGATGACAAGGTGGATTGTTTATCTACTGTGGTCCCTAAAGTCCTGTCCTTGGCTGGCTGTCACCTCCCTGACATGTGTTGGGCTTCTAGGGGCTCAGATCCCAGCCCTCCCCTTCCCCTCCAAGAAACTCAGCTCTGGAGTTAGGCTGTTTGAGTTCAAAGCCCAGCACTGCCCCGTATAGCTCTGAGGCCTCTGCCAAGCTGCTTGGCTTCTCGGGTTCAATCCCACGTGTCAGATGGGCTAATATGGGACTTGCCTCAGAGGGTTATTGTGAAGACTAAGGGACAACATGCAAGGTGTTTGGAACAGAGACTCACTGATAGTTAGCGCTTGGGAAAAGGTAGTTATTTTGATTGGTAGCTTTTACATTCCATGCAGGTACTCTTGCCTCAAGACCCTGGTCTCTCTCTAGGCTGTAAGAGGGAGTGTAGAGAGGAAACAGGACTACAGTGAGGCTGTGGCAGGGGGCTGGGGCATCCTGATCCTCAGCCCTGAGGCCCTTCGGCTTTGCCATTGGCTGCGTCTCTGCTCCCTGCCTCCCCCACCCCCCAGTCCCTTCTGCACTGCCGTGGCATCTCGAAGCATTTCCCCGGCTCCAGCTGGGTCCCCGACACCCACACAGCCTTACCTTGGTCGGCTCACTGATTGGCCTGCGGGCAGATGGAGGTTTCTGGAGGGGGCTGTAGAAGCTGGGCATCTGAAGGGTAGGGCCAAGCTGAAGGGAGCCTGCCGGGGTTATTGTTGCAGCAGCCCAGCTGGTGGCGTGTGAGGGGGAAGCCCCCCAGAACCCTCCTCCTGATCCCCCCAGCCCAGGGGAGGGTCGCTGCAACACAGAGCCACAGGCCAGGTGGCCCGGGGCTGCAAGTCTGAGATCAGGGGCCAGCAGGGTTGGCTCCCTCTGCGGTCTCTCTCCTTGACTTGGGGGTAGCTTCCCACTTGCTACCTCTTCACAAGGTGGTCCCTCTGTGCCTGTGACCGCTCCCTGGGGTCTTTTGTGTCCAAATCTCCTATTCTTAGAAAGACAACAGTCAGGTTGGATTAGGGCCCACTCTAATGGCCTCATCTAATTTAATCACCTCGTTAAAGGCCTTATCTCCGAATACAGTCCCAGTGTGAGGTACTGGGGGTCACGGCTTTAACATAGGAATTTTGAGGGGACACAATTGAGCCTATAACAGGAGAGTAGGGCAGCCGTGCAGAAGAGGCTGCTTCTGCCACTGGGGAGAGCCTTGGGCAGGGGGTACCCAGCCCCCTGAGGCGGGGCCCCGCTGGTCTCTGGTGCTGCCCTGGTCCTGGGTGAAGCTGGTGCTGGCTTCCCCCGACTCCCCTCTGCAAGAGGCCTTAGAGTAGGAACTAAATGCCTGAGGCCGGAAGACTCTGCGAGCTGATTATCCCTGTGGTCTCTGGGGTGAAGGAACAGTCAGCAGGCCCCAGGCACGGGTCCTGTCCTTCCCCTGCCTTATCAGAGCCTGGACGCCCTTCCGCCCCAAGGCAGCTGCTCCAGGCAGGGCCGTGGCCCCAGGCTCTCCCAGCGGGGGCTGGCTTTGCGGGGATCATTCAGCTGCCCTTGTTTTAGCTGAGCTCTGCAACTCACAGTAGTACCCTTTCAGGTAGGGAGTGGTAGAAAGGCACCGAGAATCCGAGTATCCCTTCTATTATTTTTCCAGAAGATTTACCTGCCTGATTGGGTAGGTTCACGCTGATGTTCTCATATAGACTTTTTCCTTTCAGCTCATGTGTTTTTTTGATAAAAGCTGAGCAGGGTGGGAAAGTGACTCAGATGTTTGCTGGGATTCAGAATTGGCCACAGATAACAAGCCAGCACCTTGCCTTGGCCTGGAGCCCACCTCTGCGTCACTTTTCATGCAGCCCCATTAGGTGGACTAGCGAACGTTTTAGGGACCTCTGATGGTGCGCTGCCCTTCCCCAACCCTCATTGTGTCCCTCCAGGCTCTGCAGCCCTGGGCAGAGCCAGCAGTGCGGGCAGGGGTGACGGATGCTTCAGGACAGGCTGCCAGCCACCTCCTGCCCAGCTAAATCCATGAGTCCTGGGATTGTGATGTTCCCGGCTTCTTGGAAAAGAGCTAGCGGACAGCCACCCTGTTTCTCCTGCGGACCTTTTTTTTATCTCAGGCACCTGAGGCAGACAAATCCCAGCCAAGAAGAAGGAAATAAGCTTGCTTGCTGAGCTCCTGCAGGTGAAGAGGAGTAGTGGTTGGGCTGGGTGCTTCACCGTATCTCACTTAATCCTCCCAAGCTGCCTGCAGGGCAGGGGTCGTCTCCATGGAAAGGAGGTAGAATCTGAGACTCAGAGGCTAAGCCACCCTCGAAGTCACAGGTGGAGAAGGCGGTGATACTTAAGCCCAGGTCTCTGGCTTCTGAGTTCTTTTCTACCCCAGGGAAGCTGGCTGCCCCTCCTGATTTCACTATGCCCTTGGCCTTTCCTCCCCTGGGACAGGGGAGGGTGGAGGGTGGGAAAATTGGTGAGGGCTTTCTCCCCTCCTTTCCATCCCCAGAGACCTCTTAGTTCTCCCCATTCCTGGACACTGTGGGCCTGGGACTCCTTAGCAGCTGAGCTGTAGCTCTCAGGTCTCCAGTGGGTGGGCGGGAATGAATGGGTTGTCACCCTTTGACCTGTCCTGCCTCCTCCCTGCGCCCTCCCCCCACCCAGGCAACCACAATGGCCTGAGGCTGATTCAGTGCCTCCTTTATCAACAGTGGAAAACAATACTCAGAGGCAGGCTGCTGGCGGGGTGGGTGCAGCCCCCTGCCCTCCCTAGTGTTGCTTCCCCAGTGCCCGGAAGCTGGGGGAGGACTTCCAATGTCGGGGATATGGGGCGCAAGTCCTAAGAGGGTGTGTGAGAGGAGGGGGTAAATGGTACCCTCTCCATTGCCCTAGACCTCAACCTGTCTCCCTGTGCCAAGCAAGGCTGGGGGTAGTATGGCTCCAGCTCTCAGTAGCTGGGGGACCCGGGGCCAATGGCTTAACTTCTTGTCCTGAACGTGAGGCTCTACTACCAGTGTCACCAGGTAATGGAGGGAAAAGCTCTTTGCCTAGTGCCTGACTCTGCAGAAGATGCCCAGGTGCATTCACTCCTAGTTGCCCCGGTCTCGCTGTCCCTGATCAACCTCCGTGGGGAGCCAAGGTGTGTGGGGAGGCACGCCCGGGGAAAAGCTTTTCTCGAGTCTGGCCGGAGCCTGGAGGGAGAGGGGGCCTCCCCGCTCTCTTGCTGCCCTGGGCTTTTTGTGACACAGAGGAAGCCGAAGGAATCATGACCATCCACCCTGGGAAGAGAAGGTCGAAGGGTGACTGAAGGAGCATTTGTAAGACTATTGAAGGTTATTGTTTGGAGTAGAACCGTGTTCAGTGTGCACCAGAGGAATGCGAGGAGACCCGGGAAAGCCTTTCCCAGCAGAGGCCTGAGATCCTGGAATTGGGGGGTGGGGGCTGTTACTGAGGAAGGCCGTGCAATCTTTAAAAATAGGTCATTTTGTTCTGCCTGGGCTTGGGTGGGGTTTGGCCGGGAGGTGGAGGAACTGGTTAGAGGCCAGCAGAGAATTCACCCTTGAATCAGAAATGAGGTGAGATGGGTGGCCTTTTGGGGGGGGGAGAAATGAATCCTGCCCGGGCCCCCCTGGGGGGGAGCAGACAGAGAAGCTCTACCACTGCCCCCGCCCCCAGCCTCACCGAGCTGTATTTTCGGAGACAGCACAGGAAGTGGGCCTTCACAATGTCAGGATACAGGAAGCTATCGGACTATTGAAGGCAACTTCCTGTGAGCTGGTCATTCACATACATTTGTCACCGGCTATCAGGCCTTTTGGGCCCTGCCATTGTCTGGAGGGGCTGCGCAAGCCGGGGGGCCGCCAGCGGAGGCTCTTGGACACAGAATGCACTATTGTGCCGAGCTGGCAGCACCCCGTGGGGTGGGGAGGAAAGCGGTGGGTAAGAAGGGGACGCCTGCCTCTCATTGTCACGGACTGCACAATGGGGTTGGGGGCTGGGGGCTGCCCCTGTTCATGGGAGCCTAAACTTCCGGGAGAAGGGATAGATGCCTGCAGCAGGAGCCTGGCTTCGGGCATGGTGCCAGGCAGAGCTGGAGAGGAATTGAGGCCCTTTATCAGCAGCGGTGGGTTTTCCAGATCTCTGCCAAGAGCCAGTGTGATCTAAAAGGGGCTGGGAGTCCGGCAGAGCTAGATTTTGAAGTCGCACTCTACCCTATCACCTGTGTGACTTTGGGCAGATCGCCCTGCCTGTCTGTGCCTCAGGCCTGCTCCTATAAACTGAAAATAGTCGTCACTACCCCGTACCGATGATCAGTACTCGAGACGGTCTGTCGAAGTCCTTAGCTTGGTACCTGGCATGAAATGAAATGTCTAAGAAATGTTAGTCCCTTCCCCACCCTCATCTCCTTCCCTTCCAGCTCACTTCTGACCCCCCGTCTGGCCCAGCCTTGAGTGAGCAGATCAGCGTGTGCAGGGGAGGTGAAGAGGTATTTTAATATTAGCCCGGACAAAGCACAGCTCTGCCTTCCCCTAAGCCAAGAATATCAAATCAACTGGTAATTATCCGCACTAATGGATGGCACAGAAGCAGATAATTTGTCTTTGGCCATGTGCCTTTGGCCTTCTGTGTGAATCTGGGTGTGCCTGAGTTCTACAGATTCACCTCAGGTCATAGCATGCAGTCATAACAGGGCAGCCTGAGCTCAGGAAGAGGCAGGTTAGGGGACCCTGGGCAGCCCTTGGCCTTGCCCTGCCCCGCTCTGACCCGTCAGCGCCAGGAGGGAGCGCTTTGTTCCTCAGCTGTGTAATGAGGTGGAAAACCAGGGACTTTGAGGCCAGACTCTTAGGGTCAAACCTTTCCTCTGGCCTTAACTAACTGGGTCACCCGAGGCAGGTTATTAGACCTGTCTGAGTCTCAGTGTCTTCATTCCTAAGGTGGGGATGATCGTATTTACTTGGCAGGGTTTCTGTGAGGACGAAATAAGGTAATACGTATACGCCTTTCTTTTCTTTCCCTTTCCCTCTTGTCCCTGTCACTTCAGCCCTACCCTGAACAGAGAGCCGTTTCTGATCGCTCCTGGCACACGGACATGGTGAAATGTTTGGATCTCAGAAGGTTTTACTGCCCCGCCATGTGCAAGAGCCAAGACTCCGCTGTCCCATATGGTGACCACTAGCCGTGGGCAACGATGACAAGTACAAAATAATGAATTAAAACTACACATCCGCTTCCTCACTAGCCACACGTGGCTGGTAGCTACTGCATTGGATATCACTGTGGAATGTTCTATTGGACAGCACTGAGCTGGAGGGCATGCTATACCACAGAACCTGAGAAGGAGGAGGAGATAAATTAGTGGAGGAGAGAGGCTTTGAAGCAAATATTGGCTCGCTCCTACTTGGACTCTCTACTGCCAGGGGCCTCTGAGGCTGGGCTGAGAAAGCTGCCCGGGTAGGCCCTGTGCTCCAGAGTTGGGTCACCTCCAGCCCTTACGGACAGTTTGCCCTGTATGCCACGGCCACAACGCAGCTGTGAGTTGTGGCTACTTAGGCCCGGGGGAGCCACAACCGCCATAAGACTCTTTATCTGGACTCTCTTGCCACCCCTGGTGTAGAAAGCAGGGCCATTCACGTGGCCGGCGAGGACACCACCTCCTCCCAGGTGCAGTCCTGCGTGTGACTCAGTCTCAGCTTACTTTGTGCTTAGCTGCAAGGGCCAATCCCACCAAGCAGCCTGGCCTGGGCAAGCTGCGGGGCTCTGGAATCAGCTTCGTTGCCAACAGCCTGGTGTGTGTGAGTCCTGGGCACCCCTGGACCTTGGCTATCTGGCTCCAGCTCTGCTTTTCCAGTTTATACAGTTTATACGCCCTGCTTTACTTCCTGACGCCCTGACTGGGCTCGTTCGTGTCTCCTTACCCTTCTGCCTTTCTCCTCTGAGGGGCTGGGCTGGTTTCCATGCTCCTAAGCAGTGGACTGGGATCCTGCTCAGAACACAGACATCTCCTAAAACGCCAGTTCCGGAGTCTGTCTGCTTTGAGGATCAAACTGGCCTAAAGACATCAGCATTGGGCTGGGTCTTGCCTTGGAGTAGCTCAGCCTCCCTGCTCAGGTCCTGGTTTCCTGTCCTTTCCCCTCAGCCTGCACTAACAGCAGAGTCCCAGCAGTTGGCCCCGTGGGCTTGCCCACCCCGAGCGGGTACACAGTCATAGCAATTAGAATTCAGAGGACTTTGGCAGGTGCTAAGGTCAGGGGTGGTTCTGGTGGGAGGCCAAGCTGGGAGAGATCAGGATTCTCCAGCTCAGAGTCTATTCGGCTCCCATTGTGTGTTTCACGGCGGGGTGTTGGGGGGGGGTGGGGGGTGGGGAGGAGTGGGGGGATGGGGTGCCTGAGGGAGAGGAAAGAGAACTGACTGACTCAAGGCCACACTGGAGGTCTGAGTGGGGGCCAGGCAGCCATCTTTTCTCCTGTTGAGCCCTTTCCCCACCCGGGCCTGGGATCCTTCCCGCCCCAGCACAGAATGAGCTGTTCTCCTGTCCCCCACCTGACCTCTCCTCTTTCCCTCTCTGTCCTCAGGAAGCTGTCGTTAGAGCGTGGTCCGCAGGCATCAGGTTTCCGAAGACACTAGAACTGCCTCTACCGCCCATTCCCGCCTCAGTCTCGCTCGGCTGCCAGCTGAGTGGTGGGGGTATCCGGGGAGGTGTCTCAAGCCATAATGAACAATGTGCTGCCCGTGTGATTGTCGGGAGAAGCCCAAGGGACGGCCCGGCTGGGGCCCCCTCCCGCTTTCCTTCTCCCTGGTGCTGCTGCTTGGCCCTGCCTCTCCTGGGATGGATGGGAAAGGGCACGATGTGGGGGCTGGACAATGCTGTAGGCCAGTCACCGAAGTCCAGCGTCAGGCTCTTCAGGCAAAAAGACCTTCCTAGTTTCTAGAGCGGCTTCAGCGTCGGCCATGAAGGTCACCGTACTTTCTCTGCGCCGCTCACCTCTGTGTCTCTCTCTCTGGTGGTTCCAACCTCTCTCTGCATACCTGTTTCTTCCACATGGAGGAACACGGCTGCCAAGGACTCCCAAGTCTGATATATGGCAGGTTCCCTCACAGGACTCACCTCGATCCTTGGTTTCCAAACCCAGAAGTCGAGAGAGGAGGCACACTGGCCCACTTGAAAGGGCAAGTGTTAGGTGAGAACGTGGCCGATTCTGCAGTGGCCCAGGGAACGGGGCCAAAGTTCCCAGAGAAGGCAGGCGGTTTCTTAGGAGGCACGATGAGGGGGCAGGTCTGACGGCGCCTCTCGGGCGGGGCAGGGGTTCACAAGGTGGCCCCCAGGCGTCTCTGCTGCTGAGAAGGCTCAGCATAGGTGTACCGGCCTCGGGAAGGGAAGTGGGGTGGGCTGACCAAGAGGATTTCTGGGACCTTCGCATTGAAGTGGGCATCAGGGGTGCCCTGGTGAACGAGCGTCCTGGAAGGATCATGGCTGTGGAGCCAGGGACCCAGGCGTGGTGCTGGCTGTACCACCTCCGCAAGTGACTTGGCCTCTTTTTTTTTTTTTTTAAGATTTTATTTATTTATTTGAGAGAGAGAGAGAATGAGAGACAGAGAGCATGAGAGGGAGGAGGGTCAGAGGGAGAAGCAGAGTCCCCGCCGATCAGGGAGCCCGATGCGGGACTCGATCCCGGGACTCCAGGATCATGACCTGAGCCGAAGGCAGTCGCTTAACCAACTGAGCCACCCAGGCGCCCTGTGACTTGGCCTCTTTGAGCTTGACTGACATCCCTAAGAGTTCGTGAGAGACGGCTTTCCCTGGCTTCACCAACCTGTGGCTACAAATGAAATTATTGACATTAAGGCCCCACCTTTGCTGCCTCATAGCTCCCCGTCGTGAGGACCCCAGGCTTCTACCTACTCACAGAGCCCCCAGGGTACATCACACGTGTTCATAGTTGGCTATTGCATGAGTGGCCCTGGTCTGCGAGCCACAGAAGGGCTACAGGGACCCTTATCCCAAACCCAGTGCCACCCCAGTGCCCTCAAGCCTATGATAGGGTGCCAGGTGGCATCATATTTCCCTCAGTCCTTGCTGGACTGGAGCCACGGGAATTGTATGAAGAAGCAGGGAGAAGGGTTCTCTCACCAGATCCAAATCATACTTGGTCACCGGGCCCCAAAACAGAGGGGCTTGTGAGCTTCTCTCACATAACCCCCCAGGAAAGGCAGTTTCCCGGTTAGCAACGCCCCCTCCCTCTCCCTGAGGTTCTGACCCAGTCCTGGGAGCTGGGCTGGGGAAAGCGCATCTTGCTCCGGCCTCCTTTTCTCCAGGAGCCTGCCTCCTGTGTACGCCCCCATGCCCGACCTTCCTCTTGTGGAGGGAGGCTAGGAGGAGAGGACACGGTCCCTTCCATGTGTCAGACTCAACCTGACTCTGAGTCCTCACTTAGCCTCCTCTGGAAATGCCTTCTTCACCAGAACAGGAATTCCCCCTTAGAAGGGTTGGCGTGTTAATTACAGGAGCTACATGATGGGTGCTCGGCAAATGTTCCGTTTCCTTAGGCCAGGTGTTCATTAGTCTCCTTTTGGGAGGGCAGGGATGATGGCACCTCTGATCTGCCAGGGGAGCAGGCCCATTGGGGCCAGGAAGCAGCCTGGACTGGCCAGATGAAGCCAGTGTAGGTCCAGCCTAGCAGCTCTTCTGTGGCTTTTTGGGATGAGCTTCATGGGTCCCAACATGGTGCAATCAGAGGTCCTGGCTGGTTGTTAGGTGTGTCAGAATTTGAGCCAAAAGGTCAGAGAAGGTAATCCTGGCTGAGAACTCAGACCCAAGACAGTGAGGAACTACCTTGTTTCCCCTGGATGACCTCCTGCGGTGTGCATAGCTGCCCAGCTGAAAACCAAAGCTCTGCCTCCCTCCCAGGCAGGAATCCCCTCTGTGGCAGCCCAGCGGATGGCTGCCCAGGCTCTGCTCGAATGTTTCGGAAAGCAGGTCCATCAAACAGGAAAAAAGTGTGCTCTCCATTCAAAGACATCTCCACGTGCTGGAATGATAAAAATCTAGCAGGGGTAGAGGGTAAAATATTAAACTGCATAAAGATAGAATGGAGAGCTGGTTTCCAGAGAGTCTCAAAAACAGCCTTGGGAAAGTGGGGACAGGTACCCAGTGAGGAGGGTGGGAGAGGGTCTAGGCTGAAGTCGCTGGGGGATATTTAGTATCTCCCCCAGAGGAAGATGTCTTTCACAGTGAGATGTTCTGGGTTCTGGGAGCTAGGACTCACTGTCCCCCACCCTCTCCCCCTGTTCCCTGGAAAAGGTCCTCAGAGAAGGTTCTGGATGAATCACTCCTTCCCCAGCCAAAGTTGAGAACAGGGCATTGACCCCTGAAGGGAGCACACAGAGGTGGTGCCCTTGGGGAGCAGGCAGGACAGAGTCAACTGGAAGCTGCTCCTAGAACATTGAAGCTGGTGGTTTCCCAGAGGGGATGGCTTCTGTCCTCAAGAAGGCTCTCAGAGCTGCCTTTCACCCTGGGACATAAGACAGGGAGGTGTCCACCAGGACCTGCTGTCTGTTCATCCAAACTTCACTTCCCACGAAGAGACCTAGAACCCAAGGATTAGCTACATGCACGCGTGCAAGAGCCTCAGCCACACCCTGGTAGTCCTCATGCTCATGCACACATGTGGACCCTGACATATGCATGCCACTTCCTTCCCATCTTCAGCCACTCTTGTCCTGGACAGTTGATGCAGGCCCAGGACTTCTTGTCCCCTCCTCCTCTGCCCTCACTGCCCCCCTCGCAGCCAGCCCCACCCCTGAGAAAGTACAGCTCAGGGGTCCCCAGGGCTGCACAGGAAATGCTTTGCACACCACGGGTCAGCCAGGCTATTTTCTGTCCCAGAACCGGAGGGGGGCTGGGCTGGGAGCAGCCACACGACAAAGTCGGCTCTTCTCTGCCTCTTTCTCTGGGCCTTTTTCTCTGCCTCTCCAATTTGCCGTGGCTCTCTGTCTCCCCTGTCTCTATCTTGTCTCTGGATTTCTCTTTCCTTGGACCCACAGTCCTTTGCTTCCTTTCACTTGATGATTGCCTACATGCCCTTCAAAACTCAGCTCAGTGCCACCCACCTCTTTCAGAAAGCTTTCCCTGAGCTCTCCTGTGCCGTCTGGGTTCCCCTCCCCTTCGCTCTCAGAGCTCTGCACCGTGTGCATGTGTGTCTGCCTCCGGGCCAGACTGTGCAACATGCGAGCACAGGCTGCGGGGGCTTGAGCCCTCTTGTCAAGGGCTAGATCCTTGCGTAACAACGGACAGCTGCTGAACTGCCCTTTGAGGAGGGTGGTTGGGGCACCTGCAGGGCTTGCACCTTAGCTGGGTGAGCTGTGCAGGTTTGGGGCCAGAGCAGAATTGCTTGAGACGGGGAGTCCACGGGGTAAGGGGCTCGGGCAAGAGGAGGATGTATTAGTGTCCTATTGCTGCTGAAACAAATTGCTGCAAATTTAGTGGCCTAACACAACACAAACTTATTTTTACAGCTCTGGAGGTCAGAAGTGTGAACCATGCCTCACTGGTCCAACGTCGTTTCTCTCTGGAGTCTCTAGAGGAGAATCCATTTCCTTGCCTGTTCCAGCTTCCAGAGGCCACCAAATTCCTTGGCATGTGGCCCCGTCTCTTCTCTCCACCTTTACAGCCATTTCCAGTCCTCGTGTCAGATCACTTCGACATCCACTTCTGCCTTCCTCTTCCACTTTTTATGACCCTTGATAGTGTAGGATAATCTCCCCATCTTGATGTCAGCTAACTGATGACCTTACTACCGTCTGTAACTTTAATCCACCTTTAATCTACAGGTTCTGGAGATTAGCATGTGGACACCTGGACGGGGGCAGACATCATTCCACCCACCACCTTGGTCTACTAGTGTGGTGGGGAGGAGCCTGGGATTAAACACATCTGATGGGTTTGGGGGAGGATCTTGCTGTGGGGTGTGTACGTCCTCTGTATTTCTTACAAAATCTCCAGCACCTGGACACTACGTGTATTTTCCTGGGGGTAGATGTGAAGACAGGCAGACTCTTGCTTCAAGGGTTGGCCTGAGGAAAAACCCCAGGCTTCCCACAACAGAAAGGGCCGGAGGCTGGGTTACACATTCATTCACTCAAGCTGTATGCGCCAGGCTGGGAGTACAGGCTCACGGCCCCCAAGCCATTCACAAGCTCCTGGGGGCGGCAGGTGTACGAACAGGTGAGATCACTCTAGGGTAGGAGGTCAGTCGTGAGGTTCTGCACAGGTGGGGTACGGAAGAGACCTTCCGCTTCATCTGGAGAGAGAAGAGGCCAGGAAGACCCAAGGAGGTTGCACCTCAGCCTCATCTGAGTTTTGCAGGATGAATAGGAAGGAATTCGCCAGGTGAAGATGGGAAAGTGTATTTCCGGCAGCCTGGACTGACTGTCAGAGCGAGGACATGGAAATGAAGATACAAGCCAGCATGAGGGGGGCGTGGGGGTGTGTGGAACTGTAAGCATAGGTCCTGGCACATTGGAAATATTTCTGGAAGGAGTACTTCAGCATTCATGCTGTCCCGTCTGTGTTTCTGGGCAGGTCTTGGCCCTGCCAGACATCACGGAATAGGAGACACCTCCTTTTGTGGAAGCCCCCCCAGAGTTGCCATGACTTACCCAAGAAGTTTTTCAGGGTCTTTCCTTAGGAAAAAGGGGCAAGTTTATTTCATATCTGATCTCCAATGTAAGAATAACTCTTCATATCTGAAGAAGAATGCATCATGCTTTACTGAATCATTTGTAATGTCTCAACTGATCTTTTTTTTTTTTTTGTCCCAGCTGAAGAAACTGAGGCTCAGAGAATTGGTGAACCTTTCCCAAGGCCCCATGGCCAAGGTCCCACAGCTGGACTCCAGCACACCTGCTTCTCAGCCAGGCCCTGAGCGGCTGCTAACTGCTGGGTCCCCTTCCGTCTGGTGTCGGGGCAGCTGGGAGCTGGGCCTGGATTGCTGAGTGCTGCCCAGGACTCTTCTCCTCCTCTTCCCCAAAGGGTTTTCCTGAAGGTGGAAGTGGGTCCTGCGGCCCTGGAGGGTGTGCATTGTTCAGCTGCACCTGGAGGGTGAGCTCATGTCAGCAGACAGGGCAGGGAGGGCAGCGCCAGGCAGGGGAGGGCCTGAGCAGTTCCCTTGGCCCGGGTCCCTGCCTCCACCTTTGCCTCCTCTTCCCAGGAGCGGGTCCTTTCCCCGAGTCCTGGGCTGACAGTCAGGAGGCCAGGGACCCAGTGAGGCCAGGAAAGTCCCTCAGTTTCCCTGCCTGAAAATGAGGGTTGAGTTAGATTGGGCTTTCCCTGTCTGCTGAACAGTACTCCTACAGAATATTCTCCAAGAAAAGGGTTGCATGGTCAAATGAGGGAAAACCTGGTGACCTCTTCTGCTCCAGTTGGTGCCGCAGGAAGAGCCTGGGTTTTGGGACCAACAGCCAGATGTTGCCACTTAGGAGCTATGGCTCAGGCAGGTCGATTCCTGAGCCTCAGTTCCCTCATCTGTAAAAAGGCACATGATAAAACTCAGTAGAATCATTGCAAGGACTTGAGACATATATGATTTAAAGTACTTGGTGTATAGTAGGCACCCAATAAAAGATCATTGTATCATCATCAGATCCCTGTGCGAGCACTATGAGCCCTTCACTAGATGGACTCCCTGAGCGCAGGGATTGTGCCTTTTATCTTGTCATCCTGAGCACAGCTGCTGACACAAAGTAGATGCCAGGTAGCATTGTTTGATGAAGATGGATGGACGGAGCCTGGCAGCTGGTGTGGAGGGCGGGATGGTGGGGTGAGACTCCCTGTCCCCACACTGGAGACAGCAGTGTGTCTCATGGCTCTGCCACACTTTCACTGCAGGGGCTGAGGCAGAACAAGTCTTCAGAGACCTGAGAGAGTCTTGCCCTGTGCAAAACAGAGAAAAGAGAAACTTTTGATTTTGGACATGTGACTTGGAAGCACCAGATGGGTCCAGGAGAGAGAGACGGAACTACTTTTGTGTGGATCTAGGAGTCTGGCCCAAGGGTTAAGTACATGGAGAGAGATTTTAGCTCCAAATATGATTAGATTTTTGGGACTAGGCTGCCTTTGAAGGTGATCGGAATCCCCTTGATGGAGCTGTATGAGCAGAAGCTGGCCAGCCATTGGTCGGTCCAAAGGCCAGACCACAATCCAATACCTGGTTGGGTCGTGTATCAGCTTTTTCTGCGTAATAAAACTTCAATGGCATACAGCAATAAGGATGCCTGGCTCACAGGTGGGGAGTACACTGGGGTGGGCTAGGCAGCCCTGCTGATCTTGGATGGGCTCAGTCTGGGAGTTGCTGCCTCGGCTGGGGTGACTGCCGTGGCTTGGCTCTGTTCGGCGTGTCTCTCATCCTCCCGGGCTAGTGCAGGCATGCTGTCTTGGCTGTGGTAGAGATGCAAGAGAGCAGAGGCAAACATGCAAGACCGCTGGGGGCCCAGGCTCAAAGATGGCACACAGTCAGTTCTGTTGCACTTTGTTGGTCAAAGCAGGCCACGAGGCCAGCCCAGATTCAAGAGGTGGGGAAGCGGATTCCATTTCTTTAGTGAGGAAAGCTACAAAGTCATATACAAAGGCGGTGGGGTCAGGGAGGGGTAAAGCTTTAGAGTCATGAATGCAATGCAAAATGGGTGGGGATTAGCCCATTGTTTTAAAATCTGAGTTCCGTGTAAACCTAAGTTTTGAACATTTTCCTCAGGGATCCTTGGAAGGCTTGGGGGAGGGTGAATGGGTTGGAAGTTTCCTCTGGACTTTTATAAAAGCCTCTTAACTTAGTATTAATAATGTATTATTAGCTTGGCATTAGCAATGATAAACACCATTGAGTACTCTTCACATCTGGTGTATTTTAGGCTCCCTAGTTAATCCCCTTAAGAATCTTTGAGACCGGCATTATTACTTTTCCATTTTGTTGGGGAAAAGACACCGAACCTTACTGAGGTCCAGCAATCAGCCTGTCTGATCTCAGGGTTCTGGCTCTCAAACGGGGAGCAGGCAGGAGAGCCCAGCAGGGCTGGTGAATAGAGGATGGAGTGGTAGAAGAGCCTGAGATCCAATCTGGGGTGAAGGGCATGTGTGCTCCCAGGGGCTCAGAGGCAGAGCCGTACTGAGTGTTGAGGCTTCCCCAGGTGGGTCTGGACCTCTGTGGCCAAGGTGTGGGCTGAGGAAAACTCATCTACTTATTCTTTCAGCTGCTAGCTACTGAATGCCTCTCTTGTCCCAGGCACTGCTCTAGGTACTGGGGACACAGCAGGGAAGAAGATGGACCAGGTGTCTGCCTTTTTGAAATTTACTCTCCAGTGGAGGGAGAAACCAAACCTATAAGCAAATCCATAACAAAACTTCAGATAGTGGTTAAGTGCTAAGGGCCTGGTCTCCATTCAGGGGATTTCCCAGAAGGTTCAAGGTTGTGTTGATGACAGTGCACAGGTGAGAAGTCACCTTCCGGTGCTCCCTCTGGGTCTGTGTTGTGTAACCATTGGGAGATCATGGCCCCTAGGTAGACCAGCTGGAGGCCAAGCTTTTTTGGATTGAATTCTCAGGCCAGGGCCCTAGGTGCCCTGGGGGCAGGAAGCAGGTGTGGAGTTGGACAAGAGCAGAGCAAAAATAGCGCTGAGCACAGTCAGGGAAGATTAGTGAGGATTGTGACATCAGAGAGGTAGGCGTAGGACCCTGGATTACGTGCGAGAGGATGGGATACAGACCCCTAGCCTTAGCGAACAACCTGTGGAATACTTCTTGAACAGGGAGTCTGGTCTAAGAACCTTAAAGATCCCAGGGATTAGTTCTGATGCCAACTCAGAATATGGTTGCTTAGAGTGATGTGTGGAGGATGGGTTTTGAGACAGCATTCCCCTTCAGTGGAAAAGAGCCCCGACTGAATCAAAGTTTCTGTTCTGGATACAGAATGGGAGAGGAGGAGCAAAGGACAGTGGGGTTTGGCAGGGGTGGGGTGGGGGTAGGGGCTGTCCACCTGGGTGGGGGAATATTTTGTCACTAATATTCTTGAGAATGGCCAGTGCTTGGTGATAATAAAAAGCTGGCTGAGTTTTAGTCAGTCTTACTGTTCTTTGCTGCAGACAATGCACCCCTTTATTGCCCCTACCTGGGATAGACCATGCCCACCTCTGCCCCGCCCTGGCATCCTTCTGCACACATGCAAATGGTAGGACAAAAGCAGATCAGAGCAGCCCTTTCTGGCATCTGTTATAAACCCCCAGTGACTGGATGCATATGCCTCTTTGCCAAAGACTCGGAATCAGAAGATAACTTGCTATATGGGGCGCCTGGGTGGCTCAGTTGGTTAGGTGTCTGGCTCTTGATCTCACCCCAGGTCTTGATTTCAGGGTTGTGAGCTCAGGCCCTGCACTGGGCTTCATGCTGGGTGTGGAGCCTACTTTAAAAAAAAAAAAAAAAAAAAAAGCTTGCTGTGTTGAAGTTGGACAAATCACTTGAATTTTTGAGCTTTTCCTCATCTGTGCAGTGAAGTGCCCAGCATGGTGTCATTTGTATACCTGCACTGGGCACTTTTCACCAGTGACTAGGCCACCAGAGAGCCCTTGGGTATAGTGAGAGAAATGGTGAAGAGAATTTGGGGATTGATTATATGGCTCCTGGACAGTAATTTTTTTTTCCTTTTTTTGAAAAAAAAATTAAATTCAATTAATTAACATATAATGTATTATTGGTTTCAGAGGTACGGGTCTGTGATTCATCAGTCTTATATAACACCCAGTGCTCATTACATCATGCGTCCTCCTTAATGTCCATCACCCAGTTACCCCCTCCCCCCACCCCCACCCCTCCAGCAACCCTCAGTTTGTTTGTTTCCTATGTTAAGAGTCTCTTATGGTTTGTCTCCCTCTCTGGTTTTGTCTTGTTTCATTTTCCCCTCCCTTCCCCTATGATCCTCTGTTTTGTTTCTTAAATTCCACATATGAGTGAAATCATATGGTATTTGTCTTTCTCTGATTGACTTATTTTGCTTAGTATAATACCCTCTAGTTCCATCCATGTCATTGCAAATGGCAAGATTTCATTCTTTCTGATGGCTGAGTAATAGTCCATTGTATATATATACCACATCTTCTTTATCCATTCATCTGCTGATGGACATCTGGGCTCTTTCTACAGTTTGGCTATTGTGGACATTGCTGCTATGAACATTGGGGTGTAAGTGCTCCTTTGGATCACTACATTTATATCTTTAGGGTAAATACCTAGTAGTGCAATTGCTGGATCGTAAAGTAGCTCTATTTTTAACTTCTTGAGGAACCTCCACACGTTTTCCAGAGTGGCTGCACCAGCTTGCATTCCCACCAACAATGTAGGAGGGTTCCCCTTTCTCCACATCCCCGCCAACATCTGTCATTTCCTGACTTGTTAATTTTAGCCATTCTGACTGGTGTGAGGTGGTATCTCATTGAGGTTTTGATTTGGATTTCCCTGATGCCGAGTGATGTTGAGCACTTTTTCATGTGTCTGTTGGCCATTTGGATGTCTTCTTTGCAGGAATGTCTGTTCATGTCTTCTGCCCATTTCTTGATTGGATTCTTTGTTCTTTGGGTGTTGAGTTTGATAAGTTCTTTATAGATTTTGGATACTAGCCCTCTATCTGATAAAACATTAGCAAAAATCTTCTCCCATTATGTAGGTTGTCTTTTGGTTTTGTTGACTCTTTCTTTTGCTGTGCAAAAGCTTTTAATCTTGATGAAGTCCCAATAGTTCATTTTTGCCCTTGCTTCCCTTGCCTTTGGAGATGTGTCCAGCCAGAAGTTGCTGTGGCCTGGACAGTAATATTAAGACCTTCTCCTCAGGGGCACCTGAGTGGCTCAGTCAGTTAGGTGTCCAACTCTTGATTTCAGTTCAGGTCTTGATCTCTGGGTTGTGAATTTAAGCCCCACACTGGGCTCCACACTGGGCACGAAGCCTACTTAAAAAAAAAAAAAAAAAAGATCTTCTCCCCAAAAGGAGGAAATAAATTCTGCCCCCACCCCCGCTTTTGGAGGGGGAGGTCATGAATGGGGATGGAAGACAGAGGTGGAAGCGGGGAGGAATCCAAGGACACGGCTCTCTCTGGACAAGGTCAGAAGGGTGAGGATGGTGAAGCTTGTTGTCTCTGGCTGGGGTTCAGACCCTGTGGGGTGGGCTGCAGGGACTGTGACCCTTGGTGAGAGGTCATCCACTTACTTAGAGCTGAAGATGGGCCCAGGGTGTCCGGGTCCCAGTATGCAGAGGGTGTGGGCGTAGTGTGGTCTGGGTGGGGGGCATTTTGTAGTTACATCTACAGAATGAGGGTGATGTTTTCTGTTTACTAACATGGCAGAGTCTGTTGGGGCCCCACTCATGTCCCCTTGGCACTGACCGTGCACATGCTGTCAACTTGTATGCCTCCTCCTGAGGGCTTTCTCTGGCTACAGGAGCATGCCCAGCCTCTCACAGCACAGTCTCAGGGGGCCAAGGTGCCAGGAGCAGCCCTCAGCTAAAGATGGGTGGCAGTGGTGGGTAATTATGTCAGCTTCCTTGCATCTCTGGGGGACAGTCCTGTTCTGTGTCCCAGGGGTCCCCAGTGTGACTGAATCTCACTTGCCCACAGCTGTCTTGGCCCACTGATATGCCTTATGGGAGCTTCCTAGGATCGATTCCTGAATAATCTGCTCTGCATTCAAACCCTTAATTCAGGGTCTGCTTTGGGGGCATCCCAAACTGAGACATGATCCTCACAGGTCTGTTGTGAGCTTCTTGATAAAAAATGTGGGGTAGCTATGGCAGGTTGATAATAGCCCCACAGCAGCCCCAGTAAATGAATACAGTAGCCTGTAAGAACTTTGTAAACTGAAGACCCCTACAAATACGAAGGGCTGTGGGGCTCGCTAGGGCATGGAAAGAACGTGGGCTCTGTGGTCTGGCAGATGCGGATTTACATCCCACCTGTGCACCAAGAGCTGTGTGGCCCTGGACAAGTCACTTAGCCTTTCCAAGCCTCAGTCACCTCATCTGAGAAAGGTAATGGGGAGCAATCCTTCTTATATCATCTACAGCATTGAAAATGGCGATGCTGGGGAGGGGACTGTCACAGAGACCAGCGGAGAAGCAGGCACCCCGTGGGTATGTGCACGTCTGCTCTCAGAGGTAAGCGTGCTGTGCTGCTGAGGTCAGCGATGGTGCTTGTGCCCTTGGCAGCCCCCGTCTTCTCTTTCCAGTGAAGGCAGGCTTGGAGTTGGGTGCTTCGTCCCTGGAGTGGCCAGGAGCTCACTGTCCCCACCCTGACTCTGAACCTGGCATTCTGGCCCCAGTGACCTCCAGGGTGGGCCTGGCCCTGCCCCTGCTTCTGTAAACGCAGCCGGCAGCCTGGCAGCCAGGCCTGTCCACGCTTATCAGCAACCTTGTTTGCTCAGGATGGGCACGGGCCTCCCCCTCCCCCTCAGAAAACAAGAAAACATGTTTTGCCAGTGGCAGGGTGGAGTGGGGTGGCCTCTCCAGCTCCAGGCCCGCCCCCCAGCAAGGCCGCCAGCGGGCAGCAGCCTGTTGTTATTGGAGGGATAGCTGGCTCTCCAGCCGC